TGTATTCAAATGTGAATTTCACATTTTCATTGTGCTCACATTCATGAATATGACTTTCAACATTAGCTAGTATTTCAAATATGAAATTTTGATTGAAATCTGTGTTTTCCATTTCTTTTTTCCTAATGTATTAATCAACCATGTGATTCACATTTTGGTTGAAAATTTCCCCAAACTCCTGGAGAAGCCCCTTTCCAAATGTTTCTTTAAAACTTTCCAATTTTGCTACCATGAAAGATTGCCTGATATGTTTTTTCTTTGTAAATTCAAATGTTTCTTTTTTAGATATTGTTTTAATCTTGTTCATGATATCTGCCTGTTTTTGGAAGTGAGAGCACAGAATCCCTTCGACTATAGCTTTTATGTTGACTGGCTCATCAGGTAGCTGATCTTCTGCTATTTCAGCTACCCACTCAACCCAGAGTGAATTGAATGCTTCCTCCACTTGTATATCAGTGAGCCTCTTGTCCTTCAGTGAAGTTGCCATGGTTTTGCTTTTTTGCATGAAGTTTTTTTCATAATCCATTTTTTTCTGATCTAGTTCTGACATATTTCTCTTAACTTCAATTAACGTTTCTTCAGTGAGCTCATTCTTCAGCCTCTCAAGTCGGTTTTCAACATTTCCTTTCCATTTAATAAGGATTTCAGCATGTTTGTCTTCTTTGAAATATGCCTCAATCTCGCTTTTTAATGCAATATAAATTTCATCAAAGTCAGAAATCAGATTTGTGGTATGGACATCCAAAATATTGTTACTTCTAATTTGGTTTTTCAATTTGGTCTGTGTTTCCAAACAATATTTTCTTAACTTCCATGACCAATAATCATATTGTTCTTCCAAGCTAAGACATTCACTCTTTTGTTTTATCTTTTCAGCTACTGTGGTTTCTGACAATGTTGAAATGGAGATTGTCAGACTTTCTTTGCTTTGACCAGATTCACCACAATTGCACATAATTCTAATATAATAAGTCTTGTTTTTCCAGTATGCCTTATTTTCATTAGTTTTAGTTTTGTACTCAACAACATAGTTTTCAATGTTGACGCCATGGCCAATTGAATCAGGTTTTGTCCAAGAAAGTCTACATATGTTTGTCTTGGCTTCCCAGGAGGACTTGTGGGCAAAGTTTTAATGCTCTCAGCTTCACTGGTTAGACTGACACCTGTTGGACACACTGCCTTGTATCTGAACCTGTAGCCTGTGTGGGGAAGCAGCCCAGACACAGTACATTCTAGGTTAGATTTGGGTACTTTAATAAATTGCCAACCATCTGACTCATTAGCACAGTATTCAACCAGGTAGTGTGTGATTTCACTGGATCCATACTGGGGGTGACTGAGCTTTATTGTCACACTGTCATGAGTGATGTCAGATGCATTTGGTCTTTCTGGCTTTGACGGAGGCTCAAAATGGTCACTTTTTTTAATCCCATCTTTGTAAAGGTAAATACTTGCCCCTTTGTGCTTATCATTAGGTATGGATGCTGATATAAAGTATGTTTTCTTGTTCCCCTTGTTTGCTTTTGCAAAATCTATGAAGAGGAATACATGTTTGTTCATTTTTTCTGACACGGCATCTGAGAAGTAAAACTCACACGGCTCAACATCCTTCTCATCTTCCTCTGTTGGTTCTGTTAGCTTTGCAGTTGAAAGAGTCTTTAAGTGACTCCGCAAGCAGGACAGATACGGCTCCTCCTCACCCAGTGATGTGAATGCAAAGCACACTACATTCTTATCTCTATTTTTCAAGATTTCACTTTGAAGCTCACTCTTTGTTGCCAGAATTTTTGTGTCTTCCATCATATCAGTGTATGTTTGGAGCAGGTTGATTTCTTCCTCTTTGCAGTCCAGCCATTCCTTAAGTTTATTGCAATTGAAGGGAGACTGTTCCTTCTTTGTTAGGATGTTTGTAAGCACACATTCCTCTGTTCCACCTCCACGAATTGATGGTAAAATGCTTGACAAAGATCTCTGAAACACTGATTTGTACTCCAAGCACATATCCTTGAAGGATTTTACCTTTCGTCCAATCTCAGGAAAGCATGAAGTAACCTTTCTCTTCGTAATATCATTGCATTGCATTTCTATTTCATTGAAGTCCTCTATCACACTCTGTGTTTCATTTATTAATCTGACACTGATCTGACGCACTAATCTGGCAGCAGAAGGATCTATGATTTCCAGGGGGAGTAACCACACCCTGACTGGCACAGCGTTTCCCCCCTTTTCACCCAGCAGAGTTGGAAGAGTTTTGTATGCGTCTACAGCATCTTGGAAGGAAACAGGGTTCTGCTTCAGAGCAAAGTCCCCATAGAATATACAAGAAAACTTTTCTACAGTAGCTCTGTCAGTGTCTGTCAGCTCTAAGGAACCTTTCCCATCGATTGACAAGGATGATATTTTCTTTATCATCACTTGCAGGTTCCCCTCAATGTTTTGCTGGTCCTCAGTTTCTGAAACTTCTC